GAGGAACCGGACCTCCACCATCTCTGTGACGTCCGGCAGAGTCCAAGACGTCCGTTGGACTTCATGTAAAGCTTTCATTCAAGGTTCTTTCCAACAGCCGCTGTGGATTCATGAGATCAGCCTGAAGCCCGGCAGACGGCGCGGCGCCACATCGGCCTGATTCTGGTCCACTCAGATTCAGAAACATGCTGCAGAGTCGCCTTGTGGCCACAAACCCCCAAATTCAGACGCTAACGGCTGCACGACCAGCTAGCTCAGGCTCAGTGGGTCGAAACCAGTCGGGAGAATCTGGAAACACAAGAAGTCCAGGTATCCGCACCAGACCGGACCGACGTAAAGAACCAACAGGTCTTCTGTAAGTGGATCAAGACTCTACGTTACGGAGTGAAATCAGCCTTAAAGCAGCGACTCGGGGCACTGAGACCAGAACCAGAAACTGTTTTAACAACGAAGCACCAAGAACCAGAACTACCTGCTTGGGTTCAGACACCAAAGTTCTTGTTGGGTTCAGGGTTCAGCTTGTTTAAAAGACGTGGTTAACTGAAGTCCGTCTCATCCAAAGTTCTGTTCCGAGTTCACAGAAGTTCGGTAAACAGAACGTTTAGTAGAATCAGCTCATTGTCGGAACTGACCAACAGCTTCCATGAGTTCTGATCCGAGGTGGTCGAGTGTCTCCTGGAGATGCTTCACATGGAGACAGACTGGAGACGTCACAAGTCCTCCTTAAAGCCTCTCCGGCTCCAAACGCTGCAGCTCAAAGCCCAAGAAGAGCCTGAAGATGTTTTGTCTTCTAATGGAGCCGACGTCAAGTGGACCTCAATCATCCAAACAAGGAGAAGTTCTGAAGTGGACCGCTGGTCATGTGAGAGGCATCTGAGCTGCAGAAGCTCCACAACGCCACAAACACTAAAAACACTAAAACATCGTTTTACACGTTTTAATTAAAAAGAGAAGAAATCTGTTGAACTCAAACACACACAAACAGAAACAGCCTGCAGCATGTAAACGTTCCCACTGCAACGTCTGAAGAACCAAAACGTTTTATTCCTTTAAAACATCACATCTGATGTCAACCATCGGCTTTGTTCTGGTTTATATTAAACACACTTTGTTTCCTCATTTCATTCAGATTTTTCTATATTTAAAAAAATGTTCATAAAACTGAACAAAACGTTTTTAATATTAAAGAGTTTTAAGAGAAAAAACTCTGAAATCTGCATTTTTTATCTCATTTAACTCAATTCTGTAATTTTATGAATACTTTTGTGTTTTTAAAATAAAATAAATAAATTTTAAAAAAGAGTCATAATTACTAAGAATATGGGTCTGATCAGCACCAGCAGTGTTCTGAGCAGCACCAGTACTGACCCGGTCCGTGGTGGACGCCCAGCGCCGCCCTCTGCCAGCGGCCGAGCGGCTGCAGCGCGTCGCGGCCGCCGGAGCCTCTGAGCAGCGCCGCGGCGGTGCAGCGACCCGCAGCCAGCAGCAGGACGAGCAGCGCCGACAGAACCGGGAGCCGTGGGACCAGCATGACTGCAGACCTGCAGGGACACAGAGAGACGCTCGGTATCGATCTGTGGATCAGTCGGTTGATCGATCGGTTGACTGATCGGTCGGGTCGAGCATCGTTTGAGTCTTCTTTGTGTTTTTTATTTTTTCCTTCGGTCCAGTCTGCTCACTGGGTTCTGAACTGTGGGAGCTGCAGGTTCACACCAACAGAGAAGGTCCAGAACATGAAGCACCTGAAGCTGCTCCACGTAGATCCGTTTACATGATGAGCAGCTTCATTCATCACAGACATGAAGGTTTCCTCCTGGTTTGGACTTTGAACAGTTCTGCTGATCAGTGCCGATCTGGACCCACAGTGATCAATAAGTCGGACTCCCACGCTGGGACGGAAGTTATTTCAGGTGGATTTTCTCTCTTCAGCTGTTTTTAGGGTGAAATCCAAACCAACTTTCCAGAACTTGATCCTTTAAACTCTCTCTAACTCCTCAGCACCGGTCCGTCCAGGAAAAGTCTTCAAACGGACAAAAGATGTTTTATTCCTGCAGAACTTTTGCAGCAAAGTTGACTAATGAGGACAAAACTCGCCTTCATGCACTTAAACCAGCTGCACAACCTTTGGGTTTCGCTCTCGGACCGGTTCGGTTCGGCTCACCTCTGCGCGGCTCTTTGCGCCTCGGCTCCGCGGCGCACCGCTCTCTGGTCCCGGGCTCTGCCTCCCGGTTCGTCCCGCTGAAGGTGCGCCTCCCGCCGAGTGTGTGTGATCCTTATCCGGGGTTGGTCTCGATCAGAGCCGCGTGCGCTCCGGGACCCGGTGGCATCTTAGACTGGTCGCTGTGGGACCTTCATCACCACCATCATCATCATCAGCTGCTCCGACCTGCAGCAGCGGACGCGCAGCTGCACGGGCTCATGCCTCTGACTCCCGCAGCTAGTATCGATCCTATCGATCTGATCGATCAGATGAGTGCAGCGCGCGCTCCTCGTCCTGCTGCGTGTCTGCTGTCTGCACAGATCAGAGTACGGAAATACAGCAGGAGGAGGAGGAGGAGGAGGAGGAGGAGGAGGGAGGTGCGTGCATGCGTGCGTGTTTGGACAATTAACGTGAGTGCACGCACGCACGCACGCGCACCGTGTGGCGGATGAGAGTTGCAGCAGCGCGCCCTCTCAGCGGAAGAAGGAAAAACTCTGCTGCTCCTCATCAGGAACTGATCTGGATCCATCAGAGCCAAGCAGATCAGTCACAAGAACTTTAGGATGGAGAACACTCCAAGTGAGTCCAGCTGTGGTTCCATCAGTCCACCTGCATGAACATGGTTCTACAAGGAGCTGAGAGCAGCAGAACCTTCTCAGTTCTGGACCTCTGGACTGTGTCTATCTATGTCTGCATCATGGCTCCACATGGAGAAGACCTGAACAGAGGAGGAGGAACATCTGACTGAGAGACTGGACAAAGATGGAAAAGGATCCAGAAGATCAGTGAGCAGCTAGAACCCAGTGCAGCCCAGTGTGAGCAGGAACCAGGAGGTCCAGAAGGAGCCACAGCAGCACTGATCAGGGCTGCAGTGGTCGTCCTCCTACAATGACTCCACGGACAGTCAACTACTGTCACTATGGAGCTGTGGACACCAGACAAAGGCAGCTGCTTCAGACTTGGCACAGGGCTGATCAATGGAGACCAGAGTTAGTGTGAAGCTCACACAGTGTGAAGGACACTTCAGAACATCAGCCTCTATGGACGGAGGAGCAGAACTAAACCTGGCTGCTGCTCACAGCTAAACTTCCACATCAAAGTTCACCAGAGAACATGAACAGAAGCCTGATGGATGCTGGAGAACATCCTCTGGTCAGATGGAGATCAATGTGTTGGGCTCACATGGAGTCCAGATGTTTGGTGTGAACCTGACCAGGACCACCACAGTGGATCATGGTCCTGACAGTGAAGCACGGAGGTGGCAGCATCATGATGTGGGGCTGCATGAGGGCAGAAGGTGTTGATGACGTTTCTAGAAGCTCCATGAATGTCTGAGAATGAACCAGGATACTGGCTGACCAGATGAAGAAGAGGAACATTCCAGCAGGAGAACATCCAGAGAACAACATCATCAAGAGCTTCTACAGCAGAACCAAGTGGAACCAGAATGACTCAGAACTGTCTGAAATATCTCAAGTTTGTCTTAAAGTGCTCAGAATTTGGTCCAAATGACTAAAAACTTGTCTGAAATGAATGAAGTCTGTGCAGAAGGAGGCAGAAGTTGTCCAACATCACCAACAATTATGTGCAAACTGGCTCAAATGTTTCCACAAAGAACTCCAGAAGTGGCCTCACATTTATTTTAAATATTGAAACTTGTCCTCAGTGACCCGGGTTCCTCAGAACTGGTCCAACATGATTCAGTTAGTCACAAATGATCCAGGTTGTGTCGACAGTGTTCCTGACATCAGAGGTAAGACTCGACTGTTTTGCTTCACACAAAACGACTCGAGATGCCACAAAACTACCACAAACAACACAAAGACGAAAAAATAACCCGAATTAAAACACAACAATAAGATCCAGTACCAAAGACAAAGACTGAGAACGACGACAAAGAAAAGCAGAAGGAGATCCCAGGAAACAGAAACCTTCTTCATGACCTCTGGAACCTCCTTCAAAGACCCCAAGAGCATCACAAACATTGAGAAAACATCCATAAAACATCAGCAAGTTCTTCTAAAGACGTCAAAGATCTTATCTGGCAGAAATCAAACAACGAGGAAAGGCGAGAATGTCGTCTCCAGACGTATTTAAATGAAACCACAGCGGAGCGCCGGCGGCTCTGCAGGCCTGAACATCTCCAGCAGCTGCTCAGTCAGAAGGTCTGCAGGCTCCCAGCAACCACAGGACACGCTCGTTTCCTTTAACTGCACCATCTTCAAACTGATGCTTCAGCACTTGGAGTCAAGCAGCTGGACCACAACGAATCCCCTGATTTCTACGGCGCTCCAGGAGCTTTCAAGGGTTTCAGATTTTTTTTCTTACTGGATTGACATCATGGGGGTTTCTGTGGATGCTCTCCAGAGGTTTTTGATGTTTAGGAGGATACATCAGGTCTTTGAAGGTCAACAAGCTCCAACAAGGAGCGGTTTGAGTTCTTGGGGGCATTTTAAGAAATTACAATTGAGTTTTGTAGATTTTTAGGGTTTTCAGGAGTTTGGAAACTTTTTAAGAAGATGCCAGAGATCCATCAGGAGGTTTCACAGGATAGTCACCGAGTGTCAGGGAGTCTTGAGAATGTTTCAGGTGTCTACAAAGCACCTACAGAGATCTTTAAGGATGTCCCAGGTGGTTCCTGAAGAGTTTCTTCTGGTTCTGACACCCACAAAAGCCTGTCTGGGGAAGTTGGAGGTATTTTCTGGTGTTGATGAGGACTGATGAGGCCTTTGAAGGTCACAGAGAAGGTTCTGGATCTCCAGTCAGGTGCATCTTAACACCTTGGATTCTTCAGAGGTTTTTAGGATTTGGGGGAGTTTGGAAGGATGCCAGAGATCCTTGAAGAGGTTTCAGTCGTAGGTCCAACGAGACGTATCTGAGGAGGTTCTGCTGTTATTTATTCAGGCCGCAGAGCAAGAAAGTCGGAGAACATCGAATCCAACCAGGTGGAGTCCACAAAGAGACACCGAATGACGACCAATGGGCTTCAAACAACCACCAAAAAGAACACAAAGAGAAACACGACACCGGTTCTGGTTCTGGTTGGAGAATGTGTGATTGCTGTTTGTTAGAACGTTCAGTTCAAACCTCGGTGGAACCGACGACGACACAGAAACCCTGAACAGAGACGCGTCAGACGAACAGCCTCAGAGCAGCAGCTCTGGTTCTGTTCTCACGGTTCCGCCCTTATTTGTTCACCTGCTTCCTTCAGATCCTGAAGATCTCAGCTGCTGCTCCTGAACATGGGAACGCTGTGGCCACGGCGGCAGGAGGTTCTGCTGAAGACCCGGTCCGACCAGGAGGTACCAGGGAACACTGTCGGGTCATGTGTGTGTTTTTTGTTTTAGTGTTTTGTAGCAGGTGTGTGTGTTTTCGTGTGTGTGTGTGTGTTTTCGTGTGTGTGTGTGTTCATGTGTGTGTGTGTGTGTGTGTGTGTGTGTGTGTGTGTTTGTTCGACCTGTATTTATTCAGGCTTCAGGCAGCTCTGCAGAGCGCCGGCTGTTTGTTCATGCAGGTCACTGCAGTGCAAACCAGGTTTTCTCACGGCCATTAACTCCAGCGCTCTGGACGGATCCAGACCTGCAGCGTTCCCTCTAGGCCCTGCTTTGGAACATCTCCAAGAACCTCTGGAACCTTCCCTGGGGCCCATTAAGCATCTTTAAGGACACTTTAAACCGTTCTGTCCTCATCAGCACCTGATTCGTTAGTTTGAGAAGTTGATGGAGAACCTTCTCCAAGATCCTACTTTCGGACCCAACAGAACTCAAGAACCCACTGACAAGTCTGCAAAGTTCTGCTTGGAAATCTCTAAACAAAACAAAAACATCACCTCTGATTTATGTCAAAGACAAAACCCTCCTCATCGACACCAAGAACCAGAACCCCCGACAGGTTTGGTTCTGTTTGGTCACAGACTCATCACGGTCCCTGAGTAAAGAACAGAACGTGAACAGGTTCCTGCAGAGGAACAGCTCATAATGAAGGTCACTGAGGGTCGCAGTACAGCAGAACCAAACAGTTCTGTTCTATAAATCTGTCAGCGGTTTGCTTCATTGTTCCGCTCAGATCTGAAGCCTCAGAACCAAACCAACAGTCACACGTGTCCCGTTTTCACCCTCATCATTAAACGTCTCGTGTGTTTCTTCTCCAGAAGCGTCGGAATAAATTCTCCATATTCGGGTTGTTCCTCCGGGACAGACTCGCTGCTGCAGCCGCCAACAAAGCCGCCGATTGTCAGGCTGCTGCATCTGACCTCCACCACGGGGGAAGCGCTGCAGGCGGCCTGAGCAACAGACGGCCCGTTTGTTCCGGCCCGTAGCCCACTTAGAACCGTGTGATGAGGGTTTTTATGGGAAATGCCCGAACGTGTTCCCAAAACAACTCTGTTTCTTGTTTGAAAACATTTTCTTTGCTGTCAGGTAGCCTTTAACCTCCAGCTCAACCTCAACACCTCCGGAGCTCCACAACCTCGTTAAAGACATGAAACATGCTCAAGAACTTCTGCTATCTGGTTGTAGTTAAAGACACACCTCCTC